ACTCGCGCCATTCCCCATAGTAACGTTCTGCGGTACTTTTTTCTATGAATCAAACAGAAACGAACAAGCAGCATTTTGTTACGTCTCTAGGTGCATGGAAGGTTCTTTATTTAGTGCAGCTAGTTCGACTACTAGTGAATAATTGTAGGCCTCTGACGTCATTGGTATCATTTTGCGAATGTCCTACTCGTGGCGCATGTGTTCTCGTGCATTTACCTTAATTTTTCATGAACTAGGCCACTGCTGTAGATGATATTGTCGTTTTAGACGTTGTCAAGCATTGAGTTTTCACTCTTACATAAACTGTTATCTGACTTTAGCGTCCCTTTAAAACAAACAAACAAACAATTTTTGGTGCGTAGATGATATTCATAACGTCATTTTAAAACATGCACGCGAAGTTAGCTTGTCCCGATAAAGCCCTGTGGGCAAGATAACGTCCCGTTGGAAAAATTATGCACCACTGGGAAGCCCCGTTGGTTGGTGTGAAGTCTTTCCTTTCGGTGTTGCCTGCAATGTAGAAGCCACGTTGCGCCAACAAGAGTAGCGTAAAGACACGCAACGAATGAATGAGTTCGCCGTCACAGAGACGCAGGGCAGATGCGATCAAAATGTTTATTTTGTTAAATGCAGATGTTCGCTGCGAGCTTTCTCTTTGTAATGAATTTAACGCTATCTGCATACTAACAGTATAAAAATGACAGTGATATACATCCCTTCATTACACTCAACATTGTACGGTAAAGGTGCTCAGCTTAATAGTATTAGACTGTACATTTTTACTTAAACTGCTTTTTCAAGCCTTTCAATACAAAGTGGAAACGTTTCTGCAGAACAGCACTGGTCATTGCAGCATGAGAGCGTCTGTATCACCTCTAGGCATAATATACTTATAATTCATTTTCTTGAAGATCAAACATCTCAAGCATGTAAATTAATCTCCATGTTTCCTGTACGCCAGCACCACCTGCGAACGCAGGCTGTCGTCTGACATCATGTTTTGTACTCAAGGAATGTACGTGTGAGGGTTGTGGTGGCGGTTTTTTGGAGGCATTAACTTGTTACTCTGGCAAATAATGGCACGCCCCACAGATAAATAAATATGTACCTGAGCAATGCCAGCATCGCTCTCCTACACTCACTCACTCACTCACTCACTCACTCACTCACTCATTCACTCACTCACTCCTAATCTCAAAATAGAACAAAGTACGGGCCTTGTATAGATCAACGATTGCATATGAAGATGTGATGCGTGCGTATAGAATTGAGAGCAGCATATTGAGACCAGAGATGCTGCAAAAAAGAAAGAAAAAGGGGGAGGTCGCCTATGTTGACCTCGACAGCATTAGTAAAACATAAACATGGGGGGGGGGGGGGGTTACAATGCTGTACGGGTATTAACGGATAATGCACCGATTCGATTACGCACTGCGTTGCTTGCCATAGACTTATTCCATGTTTTTAAACAGCGCGATGCGCCGTCGACATGATGACGTAGCGACGTCGTGCTGTGTAGGCTCCGGCCTATCTGATCACGTGATAACTGGCACAAAAGCTGGGAAGCTGTTCTGCCAGTTGTTTCGTGATCATAGAGGGTGGTGGTGATTTCTGGACTGGGCGGAGCTATGTACGCAACGCGACGTCCGTGCAAGCGCGTCCGTATGTCGACGGCAGCGTATACCGCTGCTTACAAACGTGGAATATGTCTATAACCGGACACACAACATAAAAAGGCTACGCCCAGAGAACCAAAAAAAACGTAACTGCCGATTACCTTCTTGACTAGTGACGTTGCCCCACTTGCGAGCCTCTAGGTGGAGTTAAGTACCCACCAAACTTATGACGTCAGTCTAGCGTTCACGCCTATTGGTTCCTACGGATATTAATAAAAATGTCATTTAGTTTTGAAATGTTACACTACTCATTAAATGTTTAGATAATGCAGTGGTGAATGATATGTTCGTCTTTGAGCAAAAAATGCAACTGCCCGACAACTGGTGAAATGTTTGGACAATGCAGTGATCAGCGTTAAAGCAAGCAGTTGTCTCTCGACAATAGACACCACTGTTCGAAAGAGGCAGTGATCTGAACAAAACTTGCTCTTCTATTCTGTACATTAAAATGAAGAAATGTTTCTATGAAGTTGGCCATGACCGAGGCAGAGTACGAGTATCAACAAAGGGCGTCAGCGGTGCTGAAACACGCACAGAATAGGTCCAAACGGAAATGTTCGCGCAGTATACTTTCTCTGACACATGTCAAACGGAAACGGTCTGGAATCATGACAGAAAGTGAAGCCATCAATTCGCAAGGACCTAACTACGGACCAGTTGTAAATATTGAATTCGTTTTCAACATGCACCATACGAAGTTCTGCATTGGTGTAGCACTATGAATCGAGTACGCTGAGCTGACTGGACACGGTTATTCCACATCATCATTCGGACGCTTCGAACATACATTTCAAATTGCTTCAAGTGTGATAAGTGCAATGCTCCGACGGACATACAATGTTGTTGTACATCTTTGCAACAGCTCTAAAATTTGTTGGAATACATGACTTGTTCTTAACTGGTTTACCTTTGATTATATTTTAACTCATGATCAAGCATGAGCCTACCAGCCTGACAGCACGCGTCTTGATGTCTCGCAATGCTGCTCAGCAGTATTGCGACACATCCAAGACTTGTTCAAAGGGACATCATTAAGACACATAAAAGAGTCGATGTCATCGAATGGGATCGACTCTTTGGGAGATCTCAGACATCAAGCATTTTTTTGCAACATCGCGACTAAAAGAAGTAAAAGAAAACAAACTTAAAAGCCCAAGAGACGACAAGATGACTGCAGCGGACTGAGACGCTGTTGTCTTGTTCTCTTTCCTGCCCCCGCTGCTTCTCTTGCCCGAAGTTCTACTCTTGGAGACAGCTTTACAAAGCTATACCGTACGAGCAACGAAGTGTTTTCAAAGTTATGTAGCAAACAAAAGTTTCGCTGGGGATATTCAGCTGCCGTTTAGGGTTGCTAATGATCGATTTTAAATAATGAACTTTTATTCTTTTTGTAATGAGCGGAATTACCCCAATTCAGTGGTCGTAAATGTAGTTAAACGCGTGCATAAGTACAAACAACAAGTGAAGTAAATCGCCAGCGCTGTTCTTGTTAAAATCGTAATGTCTGCTTTAGTCAAACAGTGTTTGAATACTGCTCGCGTGATTTGAAGGCAACATCCGGAAATGGGTTCACTATCCGTGAGTGCCATCCCCCCAACACACATACACACACACTCGCAAAATGCACCTAAAGTTTCACGTTAAAGTTCTTGCTGTTTCCCTAGAAGCGATGTCCGTGACGTTGACACTGGCCGCTCTTCCCTGAAGCAAGCCTAGCCCTGGCTGCTCCTCACTGGAGCAGCCAAGCCTAGCAGTAAGCTGCAGGACGCAGCGATGTGTGAGACATCTTGAAGTGTCGAATTTCGATGCCGAGTATTACAAAACACGCACCTAAGCGCACTGGTTAAATGAAGCACCATACTCGTCGCACGCGCTGTTTTAGACATTTTTTGGTGGATGGGCTTAATCTCCTGTTCAAGCCATCGGCGACCGGGCATGGCCAGCCGGCTCCCCGATTTCTTGCCTGTCGAAGAGAAAAAAAAAGAAGTGCGGAAAATATTAGCGAATTCCGAACGATGTCAATGCGCAGCAACTGAACATGCTTCTCTCTAGACCCCACCTAGGACGCAAATAAAATTTCGCCTCACTCTCTCGTAGAGGCGGAGTTACTGGGGCCTGACAATGTTTCTTAAGGACGATTTTTGGTGGACAGTGGCATGTTAAAGCTTGCGGCTCTTGGTGTCTTCAGGCACATAACATTGGGCTCAAGTGCATAGTATATACAAATAAAGACGGCTCGAAAAAGGACAAAACTTGAAAGCACTAAACAGGTCCTCAGTTTTTAAGGCCAACAGCTGGACTACACTCGTCAAAAAACCTACATCATTAGTTGAGTACAGACAACATGGTCATAAGTATTGTTATTAGCTCTCCACTATCTATCTATCTATCTATCTATCTATCTATCTATCTATCTATCTATCTATCTATCTATCTATCTATCTATCTATCTATCTATCTATCTATCTATCTATCTATCTATCTATCTATCTATCTATCTATCTATCTATCTATCTATCTATCTATCTATCTATCTATCTATCTATCTATCTATCTATCTATCTATCTATCTATCTATCTATCTATCTATCTATCTATCTATCTATCTATCTATCTATCTATCTATCTATCTATCTATCTATCTATCTATCTATCTATCTATCTATCTATCTATCTATCTATCTATCTATCTATCTATCTATCTATCTATCTGTCTGTCTGTCTGTCTGTCTGTCTGTCTGTCTGTCTGTCTGTCTGTCTGTCTGTCTGTCTGTCTGTCTGTCTGTCTGTCTGTCTGTCATTTGAATGAATTTGATGTTTCTATCAAGGAAGGAAGTTTTAAGGGCTCGTATCGTTAACGCAACCGTAATGAATATTACCAGATAATGAAGCCAACGAAAGTATCACAGACGTTAAGTGCGTGTGGTAGATATCGTAGTAAATGTGTACAGAAAATGAAGGGGTCAAAAAGACAATTTGCTGTCGGTGGGCACCGAACCAGAAAGATTCAGATTACGTGATTATGTTTCTGACGTCACGCATATGCATGACGTCGAGAGGTAAATTTCAGAATAAAAAGCTCACCTCCAGGGCAGGCCAGCTGAGTCGATGCAAGAACACCCTCATCCAAATCTTACGTCGGCGTGTGAGAAATGCTCACCTTCGCTTGAAAGTTCGTCATCGATCACAGTGAATCAGCGACAAGACTCCAAAGGTGCCAATCAAAAGGCGCGCGGAGTACGCTATGAGAGGTAGCTAAGACTACTGAGTCGCGTGTGTATGCTGTGTGAAGATCACCGCATTCCACTAGACTTGCAACACCGTTCACGGGAAAGGCCGGCGGGAGGCCGTCCGCCGCCTGTTGCGCCACTTGCAAGTCAGAATGCGGATGTACGTCTGACGAAAGTTAGCGTTGCACAGCGCGTAACACAGGGGGTTCACCGTGCTGTTGATGTAGCAGAAGTAGTAGGCGAAGTTCCACAGGTGCACTGGAATGGCGTCTTGGTCGGAAGAGACGGTCTTGACCAGCACCAGCACGTTGTACGGCGTCCAGGTGATGATGAAGGCCAGCAAGATGGCACTAAGCGTCTTGGCGGCTTTCTTGTCTTGCTTCTTGTCCTGTTGCTGCTTGGCCTTCTTCGCGGGTATCTGCTTGGCGTTGACATGTCGTTGGACGGCGCTGGTGGTTAGTGGTCTTCTGATGGGTTCCACGCCAGGATCCGCAGGATGTTTGGCTGCCGCCACGCCATCGGATGTTGCCGGTTCCTCCGAAAGCTGCACTCCGTCAACGATCTCAGGCTGTTCGGTCTCTTCTTCAGCGATGCGATCGACACCAACCTATAAGAGGCTCACGTGATCAGACTAACGCAGTAACCTAACACATCACTCCTCTAGTGCAAGGAGAAAAAGAGAGAGAGAGAAGGAACTTCTTCATCTAATGCGGTTGCTTACGAGAAGCGTCCTTTGATATCGCGTTTTGGGCGCTCACGGCCAGCCTTAGTTTCATGCTTAGTACACCAGAAAGCGTGTGCACACACACACACACACACACACACACACACACACACACACACACACACACACACAAACACACACACACACACACACACACACACACACACACACACACACACACACACACACACACACACACACACACACACACACACACACACACACACACACACACACACACACACACACACACACACACACACACACACACACACACACACACACACACACACACACACACACACACACACACACACACACACACACACACACACACACACACACACACACACACACACACACACACACACACACACACACACACACACACACACACACACACACACACACACACACACACACACACACACACACACACACACACACACACACACACACACACGCATGCACACATATAATTATTTGGACAAAAATTTTAGGCTGGACTTGACTTGGCTTTAACGAGCTTTGTTGTGATCGAGTACAAGCACGTTGAAATGCTGCATGCGCAAGCAAGGACGCGTGGCAGCACGACAAGCACACACAGCGTAAAGTGAGAAATCAGTATGCGATAACCCGGCAGTAAACAATAGCAAAAGAGAACCGAAACACTCTGCGCTTGGTATGGCGCATTTAAATCGTAGTAATCAGGTGTGAGCATAATGGGAGCCCCGCTTGCCGAGTTGTACCAAAACAGATATAAAAGGTCAAATACATGAACAAATGTCGCAGTTTGCTTGACGAAAGCACGATTTGATTGTGTAGTACGCCGTTATGGAGGACGATGGATCAATTTTGGCTAGCTAACTCTGCTTTCGCCATCCTGTTATTCTGACTACCTTAGGTTCTTTCACGTGATCCAGTCTAGATGCGCGGTTGTCTCAAAACTTGGACACCCTGGAATTGCGGTGGCCATCCCCGGCAAATGAACCCGTGACCTTAGGCTTTCGGAATGTTAGAACCTCTTGCTCAAGGAGAGGAGTGATTCCCCTTTTGTGTGTTTTTTTATACTTATTTGCAGCTTTCTGCGCTCACCAGTATTGCAATTCGGGCAAATCAGTAAGTTTGCACTCGTTAACGAACCTGAAGCACACTGAAGCACTGGCAACAGAGTTTGAAAAGTAGTCCGGGCAGTGCTCTTCTGTCTACATACCTGCGGCAATACCTCGTTTGGAGATGGCTGCGTCACTGGCTCGACTGGTATCGTGTATACTGAATCAAAAGAATGCGACGTCTCTTTTGTCTTCTCGTCGCCATGGTCGGAGGTAGGGAGGGCAACCACGGCACTCTCTTCGCCACTTTCAAGATGTCCAGATGGGTTGAACTCTACCGCATGTTCTTCGTGGTACGACGTGGACACGGACTCCACTGACGTTTCAGCCGTGGGTGGTGTCAGGGTGCCGTGCGAGCTTCGGTGACTCCTACCGTCATCGTGGTGCTTTCCGTTTCCGACATGAAGCAGGGACCCTAGGAAGTCACGAAGTTGTTGCATCTTGGACGTCTCGGTAAGTGAGCTCTTGGACGTCGCGAGGCTCAGCGTAGAAGTCAGCTGCGACCGAGACCTATCGGATTCACTGAACCGAATGTCCTCCGAGTCGACGGTACCCACGCTCGACGTCGACTTCCGCTTCAGAACGCTCTTCTTGCGGTCTTCCTGTAACCTGCCCAAGTCTCTCTTGCGTTTCTCCGTCTCGAGCCAGATGCGCCAGTATAAGGCACACATGACCGAAACGGGCAAGTAGAAGGCGGCGATGGCCGTTCCGAAAGTGATGTAAACGTTGGTCTCCAGAAACTGAATGTAGCAATGTTCATCCGGCACGGTTCGTTGCCCTTCAATATATGGCCAGGCGAATATCCACGGCGGCCACAGCAGGAATGATATGATCCAAGCCATAACAATCATGATGGCCGCTTTCTTGGGCGTCCTGTTAGCTCGGTAGGTCAGTGGCCTGGTTACCGAAAAGTACCGGTCGAAACAGATAACGAGAAGATTGAGCACGGACGCGTTGCTGTTCATGTAGTCGAAGGCTAGCCAGGTGTCGCACACAACCGCGCCTATGGGCCAGTAGCCATAGAGGATGTACATGGTCATGAGCGGCATCGAGATTACGCCGATGGAGAAGTCGGCGATGGCCAGACTGAGCAGAAAGTAGTTGCTGATTGTCTGCAGCTGCTTGTCCATTTTGAACGACACCATGACCATCAGGTTACCGACGATGGTGAGGAAGGTGGCTATGGCGGACAGGGAAGCGAGCACTACGATCTCGCCGACGGAGTAGGGTGACGTGGGGAAGACGTCGGCGATGATGTCGTTGATGCCAGTCGTTGTTCCGTTTGTGGCGCTTTCGTTTCCAGTGATGAAGTCGTGGAACGTGCCATTGACGTCGGGGTATTCGGTGGTGACGAGCAACCCGGAGGCATTGAGGGCTTTCTCGAGTGCGCTCATTGTGGATTCCGGTGCTGGCAGGTCACCTCATCGTGCAGGGACATGGACCTGCGTTAATGTATACATGAAAGATATAACGTATTTATGATATATTGATGACGTTTATGTGTTTGTGAAAGCCAATAATTGCCATCCGACCAACTTTAGCACAATGCTGATAGGGAATCGATATCTCAAACAACAAGCTTCTAGGATGCCCAGAAAATGCTCGCAATTCGGAACAAAACTGATGAATGAAAACTGTTCCGATTTGACCTTGTGCAACAGGTAACCGCCAAAGCACTACGCCAAAAAAGTGTGAATGGATGGGCTAAAATTTGTCTACACAAGATGTCACTGGCGCTGAAGGTTCGACAAGCTGACTTGTAAAACCGACGCCTCTATGACACCCTGTGTTGACACTTTTTACACCCTACATGTTCCGTCTTTCTCCGAACTTTTTCCTCTAATGGAGGTACAAGTCAGTTCCACTCAATGAAGTTATCTAATTGCGGTGGGCTGGTAGCACGGAGCCGCATGCCCTCTCGGAATCAGGCAATAGCCAAAGGTCACACACTTAAAGCAGTCTCCTACATTCTTTTATAAGCGATATAAACTCCTTAGGCTGAAATACAGAAGCGGTAGCATTAACGCAGCTATACATGTACACAAATGTGTGCGCGCGCAGCTTGTGGAGCCTGTAATGTTGCTGCTATTCAAGAAAACATTGACGCTATGTGCTTGCCGCGGCCGCGATACCCGAGGACACATAATCTCAACTGCCCCCTTAAACACCTATACCCCCGTGCGCTTGCGTTCTCTTAGGTTTCGGACTTCTCTATATTTAACGACATGCCGACATTTTGTCTTTGCGCTACGTTGCGATCACCACGGGCACGCAAATTCGTGATAAAGTTCGTCGTTCTAGTCCATGCATCATAGTACCAGAAACGGACAACGACCGAGTGCGTAACTCTATTCCTGCGTCGGCTCGTAGCTCCTTACCTTTATGGGATTGTGTGAACGTGGTGCCCATGAGTCGGGAAGCGATGACTTCGGTTCATGATGCGCGCATACCTGAAGCAAGAACAGAAGAAAAGACATACGTTGCACGTACCGCCTGTAATAGGGTTGCATTCGTTATCTAGTTAGTATACCTTGTAAATTATAACGAGGAAAACAAAATCTAGCTCTGAATTTTCCTCTCATTGATTTGCAAGCGCTCAGAAGGTGAAATATAAACCCCAGCTTCTAGCTTAGGAATCCTCGAATAAACGAATACTGCACAAGTTGTTGCCTGTATTTCCATTAGGCATGGCTAAACTTTGCCGGAACACCCCACACGCGTCCGTCCTTTCTGTTCTTGCGCAGGTGAATAAACACGCTGTACTAAAGCACTTCATGACAGGTTTCAGACCCACGAACTGTCAACCCTATCGTGTAGCTTTCAGGCGAATAAAGGGCGCATTTGTTAATTGTTGACATGTCCTGCACATTCACAGAGCATTCCTTTTTTTAGGCTGGTGCACTACGCGTTAAGTGGCCAGCTGCCCGAAGAGGACAGCGAGAATCACGTAAACGCAGCTGCGATTGTAATGAAATAAGGCGTCCCTGCTCGTGTGTATCGTACCTTTAACTCATGCGGGCGCTTGACCTTCGACTGGCAGCCGTTGTTCTGAGATAGCTGGCCAGCACTGTACGGCAATGTCACTGCATCGGAGTGTCTATGCTCGGGAACGCAAGATATGGGCGCCTGAGCGCGCACCGGGGCGAGTAAATCTTTCAGAATTTTTCTAGCGATTGCAATTATATAGACACTCTCGGCTGGATTTTGCTGCCGGTGTCGGTGTTATGCACCGTATATGTATACGTGTCTATATATATAAATTCCAAGAAAAAGTCCAGAGAAAAATAGCCCGTATCTGCATGTTAATCTGCAAATGTTGTCGAAAGACAATAGGCTTACGTGTGGAGAGAGTGAACAAAACGTTTATTTGATGTTCTGCGCAAGAAAACCGGTGAATGGTATTATGGAGGCGCTGCGTTATAGTACCTCGAACGTGCAGCGGAGGCGAACGAGTGCATCAAGTCACGTCTTACGTAAGACATGAGCGCCATCTGGCAGTTTTCTTGGAAAACGAAGCGCGTGGCTCTGAGACGTGTGTGCGCGCCCGTCTCAGAGGTGATAAGGTGTAGAACTCAAGGCGACGGGCAGGTGCCCCCACCGTCTCGTCTTAGTAAAGCGTTGGAAACACCCGCCTTTTCGTGCAAGCGTTGCATAATCAGCGCAGCATGATGAGCGCTACGGTCCTCAAATTACTTATGTATGCCTTTTCTAGAGAACGATTTACATGCAAAATATATACGTGTTGTTATGGTGCCCCAGACATGCGCGATAATTGCTTTTTAGTTCACAATTGCACAAGTATGAACGCGAACCCTTCAGGAACATTGGTAGGCACTGCAGATGGGGTAAGCCGTTTGAAGTACCTGGTGCCGTTAAGAGTGGACGAACAGACAAATGTACAGACAAATGTACAGACAGACAGACAGACAGACAGACAGACAGACCAAAATGTTTGCGTCGAAGGTCCCAAAGAAAGACTATCGTCTTTAAAAGACTCCGCCATGCGAAATCGAACGTGGGACCACCGCATCGTGAGTACGAGGCGTTAACCACTGAGCCACCGAGGGATACCCCTTCAACATTCAAATGGCAAGCTATATATATCTACCACTTACCGCTGTTGGCGGGCATCTCGGGGGGGGGGGGCTGTCGTGTTTTTAGCATTATCAGCAAGCTGGCGCAATGAGCGCGTGGCGGCTTTCATCTCTGACGCCGTACTTCGGCCCGTGGAGAGGAGGGGAGTGGACAATCTTTCTCGCGCCCTTATCTCCCGGTGGGAAGGATAATACGTCTTGGTTGGCATTGAGCTTGTACTGGAACGATTCTGTTCTAGTTACGGGGCGCACAAAGGTCACTGCAATCGTTGCACAGCCTCATTTTGCGTTTGTTCGGTGACAGCCTGATGACTGAGCCCTCGACCTAGTTTTGTAGCGCAAGCTACACTGACTGAGGTATAACAGTTTCGCGTTGCTCATCGAGAGCCATGTTGCACATGTCTGAGGAGCAGTGACGTCACACGGTGTATAGCGGGCGTGTCAGAGAAGTCCTGGAATCTCCTGAAGTGACGCCTCACTAGTGGGCTGGCACTCGACTCGCCCGAGCTTCTTCGATAGTCCATCTGTCCGTTCGTCTCTCCATCTTTCCATCCGTCCGTCCGATCATGCGTCGTAGCTCACGCTACGTGTATCCGGGCATAGCTGAGCTGAACCACTGCCTTTTTTTTTCAAGAAGGTACCACTGCTGTGATCAAGAGGGCGATACATCATTCTTTAGAGACAATGAAGTCATTCTATTGAGTGACAAGGAAGGCAGTTTTACTGTTGCACTGGCTGGTGCGTTCAACGCTAAAGCCACCTTATCGATAAACAAGAACCTTAGTTCAGAAGGTGAAAAGCAAAGCTGTTCTTTTATAGAAGTTTGAGACCTCGGAAAAATGAGGAGGTTATGCACCGCCATAACCATTAAACAATATAATCCGACACATTTGGAGGTCTACTTTTTCTGCTAGGCTGTACAAACCAGAAGCCCCATTTTAGCACTGTTACCTGTCGTTATTTTTGTATAGTTTTGTTACGCTAAAAGCTACCGAGCAGAATTCATGCACAGCCAACACGCTCATTCAAGCTCCAAAAAGTTCTGCATCGCGTAACAGTTTCCTCAACATTTGTACGCGAAAACCCGGTGAACGCTTAACGTTAGAAGTCAGTCCTGATGTCGGAGGCCCCTTGTGGAAGTGATGGTGCACACAATGTTGTGACAAACATTAGGTGGAGGGAGGGAGGTGAGTGCTCTCGCTATCGCAATGAAACCAAGAAGTCAAAGGAGAAATGCAGCACTGCTGTGGCCTATGTAGCAGGCTTAGTTTTTAGTTTAGACATTGGGGCATCCAAGGCGACCTTGTCCAGAATGTTTCCGCAGTATTTGGAGCAGCTCATGGAATTGGGAATAGCTCAGAACTCGCCTCCAAGAACTTTTGTTGTTCGCGAGTGATGGCGTCGCGAGATCCCTCCTTCCCGTATTCAGAAGCGCTCCATGACTTGACGTGTCACCGCCTTCAATGCAGCACAGACGCGTTTCGAACGCACCGCCTTGAGGCGATAGTATTCCAAATTGAATTTAGAAGTCAAGCAGCGTTTTTGTATCCGAGGGTTGGATGGCTCCACGAACCTCATTAGAGCACCACCGCATTATGTTATACAATGCGGAACACTAGATTTTCTTCAAGACAGAACGAGCCGCAGAATGAAAGAGACGCAATAAATTGGACAAAGTATGCTTAGTTGAGCAAAATAGGTCGCGCTGTCATAGAAAAAAAAAAATGGCCTGAATCTACATGTTACACTGTAAATGTCGTCGAAAGACGACAGTCTTGCGTCTGGAGAGAGTGAACAAAACGTTTATTTGATGTTCTGCAAGAAAATCGGTGAATGGTATTCTGAAGTCGCTGCGGTAGAGAGTCTAGAGCGTGTAACGGAGGTGAACAAGCGCATCTGGATGGATGGATGGATGGATGGATAAGGCTGTACCCTTTAGATCGGGCGTTGTCTAGCGCCACCAAGCCGTAATACTTAATGAACCAAAAAACTAAATTTTTTTCTTAAAAAGTGAGTTTGAGGACTCGTACTTTGCTGTGAAGAGTTCAATTTTCACTCGTGCCTTGACTTTAGCCATCAATCAGATAACCTCCTTCTGGTTAAGTCTACCCGCTTAAAGTCTATTTTGCCCTCCCGGTCCCTAAACCCCAGTGCTTTGAAAAACTTTGCGCCATCATCCTGAACTATAGAGTGAAGCCCTTTACAGAACATTATCAAGTGTTCGGTAGTTTCTTCTTCCTCTCCACACGCACTGCATACTGTGCCTACCCCTTCGTATTTGGCCCGATATGTCTTAGTTC